ATCTTATCGTGACCCCCTGTCATGATATGTATCGTATCGCCAAATTCTTGCCAACAAAAGCTAAGTTATTTATTTAACAAATTTTTAATTTATTTCACTCATTTTCTTCATTTTTTGATTTATTTTACTCATTTTTTTATTTATTTCACCCATTTATTTATTTATTTAATTTTGGCTAAAACGGCTCTCCATACATGTTAGGTTCACAGGAACCTGAAGGTGTCCCAAGGTGAGTGACAGTGTAAATGGTTGGATCTATGATGGACTGATGACCTGTCCAGGAAGTACCGCACCTCTTGTACAGTCACTTCTGTAGGTTTATCCAGAGAAAACCCACCCATGCATGGTGAAAACGTTCAAACTACTCACACAAAGGACAGGGGCCTCAGGTACAAAGACTTGTGTGGACTTCTTGCTGAAATGTGTCATATGGTGAAATCCAGAAAACGGCGTGCACTCAAAAAAATCCAGCTGTATCAAAGTGTGCGTATCTCAGAATCCAGGCACATTTCTTTAGTACATGTCATTTAATGTGGAACTGAGCACAGGTGAGACACCTCCTCTGACACGCCTTCATTTACAGACGTTAAACCAGGGATTATTCTACAGATTAAATCAGCTAGACCAGGGCTCTCCAACCTTTGTTTCCTCAAGAGCTACTTTCACAAAATGAGTTGTCCAAGAGATAGTTATTTTTAACTTAAACCATTGAAATAAGCTTGATTTGCACAAAAAACAAACATGTAGACTCCAGCAGAAGAAACCCTGTGTAGTGACATATACAGTATATATGCTTTCTGTCTGTACAAGCATCTGGAATATGTATACTGTATGTTAAACTCCCAGCTTTGACAGGTCTTCATGGCCAAACAACAAAGCTCTTCCTTACCGTGTTCCTGACTCTGATTTGCTGCCATGTCAGGATCCATGAAGCCCACATGTTGTTCTAAATCTAAAATGTCCTCCCTCTCTGCTATCTTTCCAACTGACAGCTTTTCCTGTTCTGTGATGAAGGTCTGTAGATCTCCCAGAGACATCCCATTCATCACCTGCAAGACAATCAAACATGAAGACAAACTGGATTTTAATTAGACTAGACAAAATGGTTTCATTATGCAATAACTGTGAGATTCAAGAACTTACTGTGTTGTTTTGGTCACAATCAAACAAAACAGGTGGTCTTATGTCTGAGCCATTCAAAAAAGGGACATTTTTACTATTGAGTTTCAGCCGAGACCTGCAATATTCCAAACATTAAAACAATCAACTCAGACAAAACATAAACACTTAATATTTAAATCTACAAAGGGATAAAAGTAATGTTAGCCAATCCTTATAGATGCTATTTTAAATATTTTATTCACAGATAGTCACAAAGGCAAAGCTGCTTCTAGTTTTGTTGTGTTTGTTGTGTCCATTCATGTGGATTCAAATCAAACTTCACATTAAAGTGATCCATGATTAGTTATAACATTAGACTTTATTTAATAAACATTTATTTTAACTGTAAAATAAAGACTGTAAAAAGGATGTTTAGTAAATTTTTTAAAATATATTTTAACACGGACGGAGCCATTTTATTTCCACACAAAGCATTCTGGGTAAATGATGACGTGGATAGGTCCTCGGTGCGAGGCTGCTAGCGAGCTATATCCACCCTGAAGGTTAATCTTGGACAATATCTGATGATCGACTCTTTTAAATGAAACCAGAGAGCGTTGACAGAGAGTAGAAGGTAGAAATGACTCAGCCTGGAACTGAAAATATGGATGGAGGACAACAGAGCTGCTTCATGGAAGAACAACCTCAGATTAGCCTGTTAGCCTTAGTGTTAGCGCCAATGCTATACTGTCTTATATGTGTTAAGACAAGCTAACCTGTTGTCCTCCATCCATATTTTCAGTTCCAGGCTGAGTCATTTCTACCTTCTCCTCTCTGTCAACGCTCTCTGGTTTCATTTAAAAGAGTCGATCATCAGATATTGTCCAAGATTAACCTTCAGGGTGGATATAGCTCGCTAGCAGCCTCGCACCGAGGACCTATCCACGTCATCATTTACCCAGAATGCTTTGTGTGCAAATAAAATGGCTCCGTCTGTGTTAAAATGCATTTTTAAAATTTACAAAACTAAACAGCCTACAGTATTTTTACAGTCTTTATTTTACAGTTAAAATAAATGTTTATCAAATAAAGTCTAATGTTACAACTAATCGGGGATCCCTTTAAAAAAAGAGCATAGAACAATAAGTCTCCAACAATGAGTTAATTCAGCAGAAGACTGACAGTCACACATGATGTTTTTATATTTAAATTAGATTTTCTATAGAAGACATGACAGGTTTAAAGTCCTTTGACTGTAAGAGAAACACTGGGTAAAACAAGAGAAAAATGAGCCTAATTTGAAGAATAATTTGGATATGCACCAAAAGTAATGTGACACTAAAAGAAATACTGGTAAAACTGTTGGGTACGGTTAGGTTGAGGGCTGGGTTTTTAATCTCCATTTTTCTTTTTCACAATGTGATCCCAGATTTACAAAGTCAAATAACTGTACTCAAAACATGAAACAATCCTCCTTTAAAGTGAAAGATATGAGAGTAGGACAAAAATAACCTACTTGCTTTTCTTATCCATACTTATTTTGGCTCCATCTGTTTCTCCTTCATTCTCCTCTGTGGGGCTCTGTGGTTCTGAACGAGGAAATGCAGTCTTCAGAGTCCCCACAATGGCATTCACCACAATCTGTGCAGGGAACACACAAAGGAAGAAAGCTTGATAATAATTACCTCATCTACTCATGTCAGAGACAAATGTTCTAGCTGTTACCTTATCTATACGTGACACAATGAAAGGCTTCTTCACAAAGGCAATCCTGGCATCTGTATTCAGAGCAAGGAACTCCTGCATCTCCTCACTGTTGGCTATTTCTGGGATGGCACATAGATGCTGAAAGACAAAAACAATCAGCACAGATCTGTTTGCTGCGACATGTGGGGGAGAAAAAGAGTCCAGAAACCTTTAGGAAGGTCTCAAGCAGCCCTTTCCTGGCCTCGATTTTCTCACTGTCCATGTTTCCAAACGGCATGTCGGGAAATAATTTCTTTGGACCTTTCACACCTAAGAGTGAAATCAGTGAAGTTTAGGACCAAACAAATCTAAATCTTTTTAATAAACTCAGAATCAAATGTTGCCAGAACACATGTGAAGAAGGGATAATGTCAACAAACCCTTGATGAGTTTTCTCAGATCAGTTTTTTCTTCGAGGCGAGTCTGCAGGTTGAGGAACTCACTGTACCGTCTGTTGACCATGTGATAGGCTACAGGCTGGATGGATGGTGGAGTCTCACCGCCTGCTGCCTCGAAATCATCACAACCCACTGATGTTTCATACTGAAACACAAAAAACATTCACACTTTAAATGATAACTGTAATCTAATTTTAACTACAATTATGAGTTTTATCACTTTAAAGTACGTTTAGGACTACTTTTCCTCTGAAGCTATAGTCTAGTCCAGGCCTATTCAGCTAAACTGCTCCAGGGTTCACAGTTACTGCAGGCCAACAGCTGAGGGGCCGAACATCCAGTAATTACAGTCATTATGTAAATAAACCAAGTATTACAAAGATCTGTTACCTTTGAAATAGTTTATTTTGCTGCATTAAATCATGAATACAACATACAGAACCCTATGTAATAAAAGTAATAATAAAACAAAACCAAAAAGAACACATTCTGCCTCCTATTTAACACAAATAATATTTTAACATCTCTGACTTGCCAAATTTTTAAACATATTTTATTTTCACTTTCATAGTTTTATTTTCAACTGCTTATAGTTTTAAGTGTCTTGGGTGTTTATTGAAATGTTTTTTACCAGCTTGTAGCCAAGATTCGGACATTTCTGTACCAAATATGCCTATGTTTAACTAAAATAACTTAGAGTAATTAAAGTAGAAAACAGGGGTTTGGGGCTTAAGAGATGAATGAACCAACTGGGGTGCTGAACTTTGGTCACTCACCAGTTGAACAGCCCTGATCTAGTCACTTTTGAAGTGATGTCCTGTCAAACAGTTATTGGTACCTTATCAATCGTAACAGAGTAGGGAGAAACAGGCAAAAGACTTTATTGGTGTCTTTATTGGCTAGGCTAATAGCTAGCTAAACAAAGGCCTGTAGGTATTGTTTTTCATGCTTACAAAACAGCTTTTACTAAAAATGACATCTTTTATGAAAGAATGTTACGTTACCTAATGGTTTCCTGCTGTTTTCTCAACAGAACATCGTCCATGTTACTTTACAAATGTATCCACTGAGCATAAACATTTCTGTGCTGATATCATGTGGCTATAAATCTATTAGGTCCTTCTAATCAGCATGTCTAGTTGGTTGAAAGTTTGTTCAATGACACTCAGCAGAGCCACCAACATTTACAAAACCTATCAAAACTCCGCACACAGCACACACACATTTGTGTTGTAACTCAGACACACATTGTTCAGTTGAGAAAACAGCGACAAACTAAACAGTGTTACCGTATGTAGAAGTTAGACAACTAAATACTAGTTCATGTATAATGTTCTTCACCAGCATGACATTTTCAAGAAAAGTGGTTGATAATCCTGAAGAATAATATCAAATGGATATTGGTTTGGCTACTTGTTAACTTAGCCTGGATGAAGTAAAGCCTAATGCAGCCTGAACATTTCTATTCAGTTATTAAATAATTGAACAAAAAGTTCAAAAGATAAAGATTTTAAGTTCAAAAACATTTTTTGAGCACTTCATTTAAATAAAACGTGTCACAAAATGGAAATAAATATTTTTGTTTTTTTGTTTGTGAACAAAAAAAAGCTAAAGTTAATAATATTAATTCTCCATTTTGTACTAATTTAATGTTTTTTAAATTCAGTAATTACAACCACTACACAATAATTATTTTTTCACCTGGGTATTAAAATGCAGACTTGTTTAATAGTCTGGAAAATCTGTTCAGATTTTGGACACTGATGATAAAACAAGTCACTTTGGTCTGCCCTAAATTAAACTGTATAGGCTACACTTATACGTTAAAAGGATCAAATTGAATTGGTATTTATGATACTGGCCCTGTATGTACTTGATACTGGATCCATACTAAATTGTGCCTTCTTTCATTTTTACATTTCAAAATAAAACAAGAAAAACAAATAGGGTGATTGAGTTTTTTGTTTTGTTTTAAAGTGGACATATAACCTGCTTTTAAATCCTTCCTGAAAGTTCTTTATGATGTTTTTTTATCCACAGACTCTGGTCACTGTGTTGTTTTAATGCTGCTGGATCTGACAGCTGCCTTCTACACTGTGGACCATCAGATCCTGTCTCGCCTAGAGAACTGGGTGGGCATTAAGGGTTCTGGTCTACAGTGGTTTGGATCCAAGAGCTTTTGTGTGTGTGTCGGAGCAGTTGAGTCCTCTGTATTGTATTGTATTGTATTGTACTGTACTGTACTGTACTGTATTGTATTGTACGGTATTGTACAACTATATTGTATTTAATTGTAACATACTGTACTGTACTGTACTGTACTGTAATGTATT